CTTCCCCCACCATGACTGCAAAATCTCCAGTGTAGTTGCAGATATACACTGGCAAAAATGACATTTGGAGGATTGGGCATGAGAGGCAAGCCCCAGGGATGTCCATGGGGATGGAGACTGACCCCAAGGTCCCACTGTTTGGCTGTAGTACACAAGGCACTTTCCAGAAAATTATGAAAACAAAATCCTGGACGTGAGGATTTCACAGTCTAAACCAACAAATCCTGGACGTGAGGATTTCACAGTCTAAACCAACAACAGGTAGAGGATGAAAAGGGGCTTGTACTGAATGTGGGTTGAACTGGGGAGTTAACCAGGACGTCAGCATGGGCCTCTGAAATATCCCCAAAAGGTTGTTAGATCTTCCCTGCTGAGCACGCTGAATTCCCTGTTATCCTGGGACAGGCATGTGTAACAGGGAGACGGGAGGGAGCTGGATTATCACCAGTGACATACTGAAGCCCTCTGTTCGGTCTCTGTAGACGTTACTAACCTGGCGAGCATTGAGGCTGCAGTAGCCAGAGTTGAGGAGAATCTGAAGGGCTCTGGGCTGAACTTGCTGATAAACAATGCTGCAATTCTGAGGCTGACTACACTCGAGTCAGAGACAAGGGAGAACATGTCTGTGGTATACACAACAAATGTGACTGGACCTCTGCTGGTGAGCCAGGTAAGGGCCCCCAAAAGAGGGTGATTCTAGCCACACTGAATGTGCCAATGGTGGAGGAAGCTGCAAGTCACCTCTGGGGACATTTTTTTTGTTCTGAAGTCCTGTAACTAAGACAGATGGCCATACTATAGTTCAGAGCATCTGCCCCACATTGCTCCCTCTGCTAGGATTATGTTGAGTGTTTTAGTGGGTATGGACAGCTCAGCATGTAAGAAATGGGGTTTATTTTATTATTTATACATTTTCATAATTAAAATGTAAGCCTGGGGCTGTTTTGACATTGGTAAATTCTTGCATAGATGTGTTTTTTGGTGTTTCTTGTAAAAGAGCTTGAAGAACATTATTAAAGAAAACAGGGCTCCAGCCAGAGGGCAGCCATGGCAGTTGATTGATCACAGGTGGGGCTGGGCCCAGCTTGTTTTGGAGAGCAACCACTCCCTGTTGAGTTCCTTTCTTCTAAGCAGATTCCATGGGGGTTCTTTTCTCCCCTCTCCCCAGGCGTTCCTGCCCTTGCTAAAGAAAGCTGCTCAGCAAAGCACCCAGAAAGGACTGAGCTGCAGCAGGGCAGCCATTGTCAACATGTCCAGTGAAGCTGGTTCCATCAAGAATCTTTTGATCTGGGATTTTGGGCATTTCATCTCTTATCGCTGCAGTAAGGTATGGCACATGTTCTACAGGGCCTGAGTCTAAGCATCTTCTGCATACAGGCAGTGCCATAGCAAGGTTGGGAGGGGAGGGGGAGGCAAGCAGGGACGACCACCCCAGGCGCAGAAGCAAAGGGACACCAACGGGCACTGCCCAGCTGGGGCAGGGCATGAGACAGAGTTGCAAGCGGCTTGTTTGGGAGGGCATGGGGGATGAGGGAAGGGTGGCTCCTGCCACTGCATGCACTCCCAGGCAGGCATGGGCGGGGGATGTGACCCCAGATCTGTGCGTGGGGCAAGGGTGGGCTGCCGCTGTGGGCTTTGCCCCAGGTGCCAAACTTAATTGCTACAGCACTGCATACAAGATCACTTACCATGCAGGGCTTTTGCCACATCACCAGCTCTGCTACCCAGGCTTTTTAGCTTTTGGTGCTGTGTCCAAGGTAGAGGCTGAAGTTTGGCTTTGCTGAATTCAGATCTGGCACTCCTGGGACCTCCATAAAGGAGTTCATGCTCAGATAGGAATCTCCATGATCTGTATCTCCCATTGGTGACAGCCCCATCCTGGAAAGAGAGAGTGGGGCTCCTCACCTCTCAGTGATGCATCCTGAGTACAAGAAGGGAGGCTTGCTTTGGAACCATGAATTCTAGTCTTTTGCAGCAAATACACCGATCTCCCTCCCCTCTCCTGCCAGTGTCTTAGACCTAGGGCATTCCCTTCCTATGTGCTGCTGTTGCTGTTTATGACATGTTTCACCCACAGGCTGCTCTGAACATGCTCACCAAATGCCAGTCTTTGTGCTACGCAGAACAGGGGATCCTGACCATCACTTTCCATCCTGGCTGGGTGAAAACTGACATGGGGTCCTCAATCTCTGACCAGGTAGGTGTCTCACTGGGAGAGAACAATTCTAGTCTCTTTTCAGTGAGCAGATGTTCAATACAAGAGTAATGGTTACATTAGAGCCCTTTCCCTTCCCAGCCCATGCCCTAAACCATTCTCATGAGGACTTCCCAGGGCTGTTGGCAGCACTCATATTCTGAGGTTTTGTTTCCTGTCACTGCCAGTGCCAAAGATCTTCCTGATCTTGCTGTCACACAGCAAATACTAGGAGCTGTTAGAGTTTCTGCCTGGGAGAACTCCAGGACAGGAGCAGTTATCCCAGTACCCTGTTTATCAGCGCCTCTTGGCAGGCGTCTGTACTGAGCTCTGGCACCAGCTCCCTGTCTAGCCACAGGAGATGCAAAGACTGGCTAAACCCTAATCATGACAACAGGGGTCAAGGTGAACTGGTCAGATCCCAGCTCCACTCCTCTTGTGCACCAGGGCACATGGGAAATGGGGCAGGTACCTCAGTAGGTTTCTCTACCTCATTCCACTTTGCTCCTTGCAGGCTCCACTAACACCAGATGAGAGTGTGCGAGGTATTTTGAACACCCTCCCCATGCTCTCTGAGAAGGACAATGGAGCCTTTGTGGACTGGAAAGGGAATCATCTTCCTTGGTGAAATGCCTGCCCAGCCATTGGCCAGGAGCCCTGCACCAGGACATTCAAGTGCCTGGGCTGTCAGCAGTACTTGTCTCCTCAATAAACTTACTGTTCCTAATGTAATGGCACTGCCAGGGCATTTGTTTCATCTCCTGCTTGAACTGTGTATTTTGCTGCAATGGTTTGGGTAGCTCTGAGCATAGTGTTTCTAACCAGGGAGAGAATTTCTATTTCCTCCCTCCTAACAAGGGCACACATTTAGATGCTGAGACATTTAGCGCACAGTTAATTAGCCAACTGTGCAAATGTCTCATGTAGATTCACCCATTGACTACTCATCACCTCAATATCATTCATAAGGAGAAGTCAGAGACTGGCTAAGATTTTAACTGATATAGGAAGAGAAAGGTCTGGAGCTGAAAACCAGCTCTGTGAGTCATCCCCACAGAGATGGTCATTTGTTGAATTTGTGTTTGTGGTTCAAATTACTCAGAGGTAAGATATAAAAAGAGGAGAAAAGGCACCAGCATGGAAAGCTGTATCCCTTGAGGAAATGTTGAAGTCAAGGAGAATGAAGACGAGGTCCTGTCTCTACGCTTGGGCAAGGAAAAAGTCATTAAACACTTAGTGAGGGCATTTTCAGTTGGTGCAAAGGACAATAGAGATACTGGAGAGAAGTGTAGGATGGAACTGGAGGAGAGAAATTCAGAACAGCTGCCGAAAACTGCACGCACATTACTGACACCAATGCTGCCTGTACCAGTCTCAAAAAGCATGTGGCAGGTATGTCTACATGTTTATGGCAGAGCTGAGTAACTAGCTACTCAGTAAAGTCTCAGCATCTACACGTGCAGCCCTATTAGTAAACTAATAAATGCTGCCATAAGTCAGCACTTGTAAACAGAAGTACTATCCTGAGGCATTTAGTGCACCACAGTGTACGTGTAGATGCTGACAAGGCTGGCTGAGGCACAAAAGTGCCTGCTGGCTAGCCCCACCCTGAAGCACACTCATACCCCAGCCAGCCCCTCCACAGCACATTGAGCCAGGTAAGAGCAGCCCCAAGCTGGCAGGATGATTCCCCCCGCCCCTTTCCCCAGGCCTCCTGCCAGCCAGGGTTGCTTCAGTCTAACTCAACATGCTGCAGTCTCCGGTGCATGTGTAAATGGGGCGCCTGGGAACAATAAACTCTGGTGCGAACTGTGCTAGAGTTTATTCAGACAAATTAATTTCATGCATAGACAGGCCCATGAAGAAGTATTTCATGTCTCTGATTCAATTAAGGTGAGACAATGGTACTTTAAATGTGCAAGAGACAATGACACATCCTGCAGGACCCAAATAAAGCAGAGTACAGTGGACAGGGACTTTGCAGAGCCAAAGCTATATTGACATTTTACCCCAGGTAGGAGTTGGACTCTTTCCAAACTGACCTGCCTTCCTTTCCAATGAGTATAGGCTCTTTCACATTATTGACTTTAGGATTAAAGAATTTGGCCTTCAAGCATCCAAATATGTCGTGCTAAGTAGGTCTCTGTCTCCCAGGCCCAGAGAACTGGGGCTCCCTCACTTGTTCATCAGTTAAGGTTTTCTTTAAGGTTGCGTGTTGATTCCTTTTCCCCCTGTAATAAATCCAGTTTTAGTTGAACATTGCTTGTGAGTTGGGAAATGTCTTTATCTTAGTATGCCTAGTTAATATTTACTTTCCCAGGTTTCTGGGTGTGTGCTCAAGCCAGACTCAAAAATATATGTTAAGCCCCTCAATTTGAACCCTGACCTGGTTACTCCCACCCAGAGCCTGGCAGATGGGTTACACACCTAGTGCTTAGACAAGCCCATGGTGCCCAGTTCCCCAGCACTAGGTCCTTGCAAGCCCTAGACCCTGTACAAATATATCACAAAGACAGGCTCTATCCAAAGACCCTGCTGAAGCCAATGGGCTAAGAGGTCAAGTGAATGGACCTGTATAATATGCCCAGTCAGATTAGTAATGCTAGTATGAGCAAACTGCTCCAATGACCACAGATCACTGCTGCCCCATGAGGAGGTCCTGCCAGGCTCAGACCTAACCTTTTGCATCACACTGCAGCACTGCAAGAGGCTCTGGGGTCCAGAACACTCTCTGGAGCCAAGCAGGGCCCAAAAACAGTGAGAATAAATTAATCCCAGATGGGATTAATTTTATTTGAACAGAGTTTGGGAAGGGTCAGATGCTGTAGTCTTAGTGATAGGAATGATTTATCTCTGATGAGAGGAATTCTAGTCCACTGGACAATGCCCCTGCCTAAATTGTTATAGTTGACGTTTGAGAGCATAAGAGCTTCTGCTGGGCAAGTGTAGTAGTCACTAGGCCCATGCAAAGTGGCTAGTATTCAGATTTGGCCGATTCAGGGGACAGTGATTCAATTCGGTGATTCGAATCACTGTCCCAAATCAATTCAGCCGAATCTGATCAGCCAAATCTCCGAATCAGACAGGCCCATCTCCCTCAGCCCGGCAATGGCTGCCCCCACCTACCCCAGCTCCTGGCACTTGTTTAAAAAAAAAGCCCTGGCTCACCAGGTGCTGCTGGGTGAGGGGGCGATCCCTGCTGCCCCCACTGCCTCCCAGTGCATGGGGGGCTCTGCCACAAGCCTCCCGACCCCTTCCCCCATCCCAGCCCCCCCCATGGCTGCCCCACCTGGCGCAGCTCTGCACCACATGGGGGTTCTTCCATGAGCCCCCCAAAGCACCAAGGCCACTGCAGGAGTGGTGGGTTCTGGGACTTTTCTCCTTTTTTTTTCCTTAAAGGGCTGGAGCTGGCCCAGGTGGGGAACCTGTGTGGGGACTGGGAAAGCAAGGAGGGTGGTCAGGGGCTTGTGCACAGCCCCCCATGCAGTGTGGGGTGGGGGGGGCAGCAGGGATAGCCCTCACACCCAGCAGCACCTGGTGAGCACTGGGGCCTTTTTTTTTAAATGCTAGGAGCTGGGGCAGGCAGACTGCAACTCCCTGCTGCAGCAACCGGGGACTGCCCAAATCATCAAAGCTCTCCAAATCTCTTCCAAAAATTCAGAGAGGTTGAATCAATTCAGACCTTTTAATTAGTCCCCTGATTCGATTCGGAGATTCAGCCACCGAATCGGGCCGAATCGCCTCTGAATCGAATCACCACCCAAAGCTTTGCACAGGCCTAATAGTCAGTTCAATCTAGAGGGGCACCTGGGGTCCCCCTGTGGCCAATCACTGAGCTGGCGGGCATGAGGGGGGGGCCCAGCGTGCTCCCCGGCAGACCCGGAAGTGGACTGGAAGTACTTCTGGTCCACTTCCAGGTTTGCCGTCGAGCACGTGGAGGGCCCCCCCACACTCCTGTGGGATGCTCCATCCACCCCAGCATCTCAGTGTTCACAAGCTGCGCTGGTACCTTGAGGTACGTAGAAAAAACTTTTAAAGCTGTGTCTGTGTCCAAATTGCTGATTCTCTGAGTCAGCACTGAATCTTCAGATTCGGATTCAGCCAAATCGAACTGGGGACAGTGATCTGAATCAATTAATCAAATTATTGTCCCTGATTCAGGCCAAATCCAAATTGAATAGGGCCTGCTTTGCACACCCTTAGTGCTAGTATCCACCTGCTGAGTGCTGAGTGCAAGGTGTGGGGCTGTGTGCAATAATATAGCAGCATGTGCACAGGCATTTTCTTAGACAGGGTATGGTCTGAGCGACAGTTTAATATAAAGTTTTATGATGGGAATTGTTGCAGACTGAGGTACAACAGAGGTATGTGGGAATTTGATTGGACAGTATATGGTCCAAATGTGTGCTTCATACTGTTGGCTACAAATGTCCAACTTGGGATCCTTAAAATTCTGGTTTATTAGGCGGATTGAAACACCGTAATGAAGTCAAATCATAAACCTTGGGGCTGGTCCCCACACACACACACATGCATACACACAGTAGCGAGCTACAAGAGTCAGGTATATTTATCCCACAGGTGCTGGAATCTGCCGTCGATGGCCAGTCGAGGCTTCTTTCAGCATGGTGTTATCCTCCAGAAGGGGGTTGCCAGCTGGTCCTTCTGGATGGACAGGTCGGGTGCTGGTCAAGTTGGAGATCAAGAAGGCGTCACTGCTTTTTATCTGTCCTTGGCAGATTTTGGTGACTCCCCAGTTTTCAAGTTTGCCCAATCCAGGGGTCGTTGACCCTCATGGGACTTCCCCCTTGGTGGCTACTGGATGGCATCTGTCAGCCTCAGGGGTCGTCCGCATGTACGTGCAGGTTTGGGAGTCCATTGATGAATTTTGAATAGGGCTCTGGGAGCAGTCGATTTGGAGATATTCAGCCCAAAAGTTGGTCCCCGGTGTTGATTAACTCAGACCAGGGCTTCTAGCCCTTGAACAGTGAAGTTTAGAGAATTCCCAGTTGCTACATTGTCTCCTATTGATTTCTTCAGTTGATTGATCTGCAGTTTCCCTAGGTGTTAATTGCTGCCTGCTACTTTTACTCATTCAGTCACTGATTCACTGCTCTTTCAGGGGCCCGCCTGATACAGGGAAGTGGCAGTTTGATTCCTGCCCTTGTTAACATTGTTACAATGTATAACTTACTTCTGAAACTAAACACATTTAGTTAAAAATTGAGGATAAGCTACAAGAGTAAGGCCATGGTACACAAATAGATAAAAATACCAAAAGACAAGGGGAGATACAAAATACACACATACAAATTTTAAAACGCAATTCCTTATCTTGACGTGAAAGAAAGAGGAAGGAAAAAAAGGTAGAAGAGGAAAAAGGTATCCAAGGAGGGGAGAGCAACTGTAGGCAAGAGGAAAAGGGGGCTTTCTGCTACAATACAAAACTTTATGATGAACAAGCCAGAGTGTGAAGTGATTGGATGAGTAAGATGGGGGTGATTTGTGGGTATAAGAGTCTAAGTTTAGCTTCTGTGTTGGAGAAAGGCGGGGGGTGGTAGGGGATCTGCTCCCGAGAAAGCGGTTCTGATCCGTGAGGGGTGCTGATTCTGTTGCTGTCCTGGGTGGTAATGCAGTGCTCTTGAAGAATCCAACTTGGACATAGTTCTTCTCTAATCAAGCCCTTGGTAATTTCTCTGTGATGTTTTTAGAGCTGCAGGGATCATAGTCTGTGGTAAAGTATCATCCTGAGCCTAATACCAAGATGGAGAACTTAGCCTCTGCTTTCTGTTGGGGGAGCCCAGAGAAAGTGAAGCTAAGGATCTGGAAGGCAGGAGGGATAGTGTGTATTTCCCTGATAGTCTGGGTGAAATATTTACCAGAGTGGGTCAATATTTGACTATAAAAAGGTTTAATGTATATATGTAAGTTCTGTAATAGCTAACCATTTGAAAAAGAAGAGACTGTTTGTTTTGCATGAGAGAGATTATGAATTTGTGAATCTGTGGGCCACTGGCCAAAGTTGTGAATCGAGGCCAACTTATCTCTGTTATCTAGACTTGTTATCTCTGTGTTTCTAGACTGAAGGTTGCTGTGAGACTCCGGTATATAGTTACATAACTTTTCTTTTTTACTGGTATATGCTGTTTTAGAATTTATATTCTATTATATCTAACAATAAACTTACATTTAGTTTAACATATTCCTGTACATGTGTTTATTTTGTGCAAATTCTCACATAAAGCCCAGCAATATCTAGGCTAAACTTTAACTTTTAAGTTACCTGGATAAACATTATGGCTTTT